GGGTGAGAGTGACTATGTCATACTAGAATTCAACATAACACAAACACAAGCAATAGAACATAATAACACCAGAATCTTGGATTTTAAAAGAGCTGATTTTAATAAACTCAGAATTTGGGAAAGATTCCGTGGATGAAAACCTTAAAGGGGAAAACAACTCAAGAATCTTGGGAAACTGAAAAGTAAGATCATAGAAGCCCAGACCAGCACAATGCCACTGAGAAAGAAAAACAAGAAATCCAAGAAGAAACCAGCATGGCTGCATAGAGATCTCTCTGGCAAATTGAAAGAAAAAAAGGACAAGTACAAAAAATGGAAAGAAGGACATACAACTAAGGCAGAATATCAGCAGATAGCCAGAATCTGCAAAGACGAAGTCACGAAAGCAAAGGCTCAGAGCAAACAAAGACTTGCAACAAAAGTCAAAGATAATTAAAAACATTATTTCCAATATATAAATAACAAAAAAAAAATCAAGGAAACAGTCGGTCCGCTAAAGAAAGAAGACAGCAAGGAAGTAACAGGCAATAGAGAGAAAGCAGAACTGCTTAACTCATTCTTTGCAACCGTCTTCACGCAAAAAGAAACTATAGCTCAACCCACCAAAAACATAACTATAAAAGACATACCAGAAATAAAAGTTAAAATAAGCAAAAAAAATAGTAAGAGAAAACCTGTCTGATCTTGATAAAAACAAATCATCGGGGCCTGATGGATTACATCCCAGAGTTTTAAAAGAGCTGGCAGAAGTCATCTCAGAACCACTGCACCATATCTTTCAAAAATCCTGGAGCACCAGGGAACTACCAGAGGACTGGAAAAGAGCTGATGTGGTTCCCATCTTCAAAAAAGGAAAAAAACAGACCCAGGAAACTATAGACCAATCAGCCTTAACATCAATACCTGGGAAGATACTGGAAAAGATAATAAAAAACAGATCTGCCAACATCTAGAAACAAGTAAAGTAATAACTAGCAGTCAGCACGGGTTTGTTAAAAACAGATCATGCCAAACCAATCTTAGTTCATTCTTCAACACAGTAACTAAATTAGTTGACCAGCAAAATACTGTGGACATATTTAGATTTCACCAAGGCATTTGACAAAGTAGACTACCACCTACTTCTTAGTAAGCGAGAAAAAAGTGGAATAGATAGCACCACTACTAGATGGACTCGCAACTGGCTGGCAAACCGTACTCAACAAGTAGTCCTTAATTGGGTCTAAGTCTACATAGAAGGAAGTAAGCAGTGGGGTGCCACAAGGTTCCATCTCAGGCTCAGTACTCTTCAATATTTTCATTAACGACTTAGATGAGGGAATAGAAGGGGAACTTACTAAATTTGCAGATGATACTAAGCTGGCAGGAATAGCTAACACCCAAGAAGATAGGCTCAAGATTCAGATAGATCTTGACAGACTAGAACACTGGGCTGTATCTAACAAAATGAAATTCAATGTAGAGAAAAGTAAAGTCCTACACTTAGGCAAGAAAAACCAAAAGTACACATATAGACTGGGTGAAACCAGGCAAAGTAGCAGTAACTGTGAGAGAGATCTTGGAGTCTTCGTGGACAACCAGCTAAATATGAGCCAGCAGTGTGCAGCAGCAGCCAAAAAGCTAATGCAATCCTAAATTGTATTAACAGAGGGATACAATCAAGATCAAGGGAAGTACTAATACCACTCTATAAAGCCTTAGTAAGACTACACCTAGAGTACTGCATCCAGTTTTGGTCACCACATTATAAAAAAGATGTTGAGACTCTTGAAAAAGTACAGAGAAGAGCAACCAGGATGATTAGGGGACTGGAGGCTAAAACATACAACGAATGGTTGCAGGAACCGGGCTTGGCTAGTCTAGTAAAGAGAAGGACCAGGGGAGACATGATAGCGGTCTTCCAATATTAGAGGGGCTGCCACAGGGAGGAAAGGGTCAAGCTATTTTCTAAAGCGCCTGTAGGCCAGACAAGGAATAATGGATGGAAACTGAACAAGGAGAGATTTAACCTGGAAATAAGGAGAAACTTTCTGACAGTGAGAACAATCAACCAATGGAACAGCTTGCGAAAGTTGTGGGAGCGCCATCACTTGAGACTTTCAAAAAGAGATTGGACTGCCATTTGTCAGAAATAGTGTAGGGTCTTCCGCTTGGGCAGGGGGTTGGACTAGATGACCTACAAGGTCCCTTCCAACTCTGATTATCTGTTAAATGGAAACTTTTTCCTATCCGGTAATATATAAAAAGGAACAAACAGTTAGATATGGTGAAAAGGGTGAACTGAATGAAAAGGGTGAACTTAAATCTATGCAAGCACTGGAAGAACAAGGTGTAAAAATGAATTGGTTTTCATATTTGCAAGTACAATCTAGATTTAATAAAGATTTTAAAACAGAAAGTATTTATGATAAGTTGACTGATTTAGATAAAATTTTGATGGGTACTGATGAAAAAGTAATTAAAAAACTTTATGGACATTTATTTATTAGAATTTAAACTGGAAGAAGAACAAGTTAAAGAAACGATGATTGCTTGGGGGAAAAATTTTGGATATGGGATTGATTTAGAGAAGTGGCAAAAATTGTGGTCTCAAAATTATAAAATGACATTGTCAACTGCATATAAAGAAAATTTGTGTAAGATGTTTTAGAGGTGGCATCTACCCCCCGACAAGACTTGTGAGAATGTTTAAGAATAAATCAGATAAATGTTGGAAATGTCATCAGACACCTGGTTCATATTACCATATGTGGTGGACGTGCTTGGATGCAAAAAAATATTGAACTAAAATCCATACATGGTTGGAAAAAATGATAAAACAACACAAAGACTTTAAACAGATTTTTTAATTGGGAATTATACTGGAAATAAACAATAAAGAATTGAGGTATTTGACTGTAAATCTTTTAACAGCAGCTAGAATTGTGTTTGCTAAGAATTGGAAAAATAATAAAATACCTATGCAGGAGGAAGTTATTAAGAAAATCATGGACTGTGCTGAAATGAGTAGATTGACTTTTGAAATTAGAGAACAAGAAGATAAACAATTTTATATGATATGTGATTTGTTTTATCAATGGACAAAAAGACATGGTAATGTAATAGATTTGATGACTTTGTAATAGGTTTAATAGAGAGATATAAAATATAATATAGACATTTATAACCATTGGATGAAAGTATAATATACATTTTGGAATAAAATTTGAAGTATCTCATATAAAGTGATAGAATAAATAATTTGGTCATGGATGATTAATAATTGATAAATATATAAGCATGTGTTTGCTTGATAATGTGGAAATTTATATATATTAAGAAATGATTACAAAAGGATAGCACAAAAGATTTGTAACAAACTGACACACTGTTTGTATATAAGATGGAAGATGGTTTTTATGTTTTGTTTGTATGTTTGTCTTAAAAAATAAAAACTTAAAAAAAAACATTCAATACTAATGACCTCTGCCATCAAATAAAATCAAGATAATTTAAAACAAATAAGTACAGGTAGTTCTTGAATTACGACCACAACTGAGCCCAACATTTATGTTGCTAAGTGAAACATTTGTTAAGCAAGTTTGCCCCATTTTATGACTTTTCTTGCCACAATTGTTAAGGGAATCCTTGCATTAGTAACATGTTAAATAAATATGGATTCCCCATTGACTTTGTTGGTCAGAAGGTCGCAAAAGGGGATTCACATGACCATAGGACACTGCAATAGTCATAAAAGCCAAACTGCCAAGCTGAATTTTGGTCATGTGGCCATGCAGCAACTGTTGTGTGAAAGAAAATCACACTTTTCAGTGCCGTTGTAACTTTGAATGGGCACTAAATGGACTGTTGTAAGTTGAGGACTACCTGTAATACTTTACCTCATATTGCTTCAACCAACTTAAAGCGAATGTTCTCACTTTACAGCCTTCTTTGTAATTTTTCATACAAATATAAAAGTCACACTAGCAGCAAATCACTGTCAATACCTGATAGATTACTATTAGACATCAAATTCAAGCAACTTACTGTTCAAATGCTCAAAGGGATTTAGCACAGATTCACAACACTTATTATATCAAATGAGAAATCAGATGTTTGTTTCATTTGCTCATTTCAACTGATATTTTTAATCAAAATAAATGTGCATTTATTAAACTTAACAGATTTTATATAGAAAGTGAGTTAATTCAGTACTGGTCTTTCATTATTTGAAGATCTAAATATGCTGAAAAGCTTTTAAATAGATTAGAAGCAGATACATAATATACATGCAGGTATTATTTACATATGGGAAAGAATTAGGAAGTCAAATGATAGAACTACCTGCCTTCATAACCAACCCACAAACACACATGCACAGAATGGGAGTGAAGAAGGTGTACTACAATATCAGGATATTTTACATGTCTTATAGTAATTTCGGCTACAGCATCTTGCTTTTGCCATCTATCTAATTACAGTTAGAAGAGAATATTAATATAATCACTATCCCATAGAGTACAGAAACATTTTTTAAAAATAAGAAAACTGAACGGAAAAGATTACAATTGGTTATATAGTTGTGTTTTCTGTTTAGAACAAAAGTAATTGTCAATATTTTCCTTAAATTGTAGAAGTCTTACTATGGAATTGTTTTAAGGACAAAATAAAAATAAAAATTATTGTTCTAAACAACTTCAAATTAAAGTAGAAAAGTGTGAAACAAACATCTAACATTTCTCTAGATACTAAGGACATACTGAGGAGACATTATATAACCCAATTATGATGCCACAGAAGTTCTTGTGCTTTTGCATATTCCTTTCCAATTTCATATTCTGGACTAAATATTTATAATGATCACATGAAATGGCTGTTGACCATGATAGCTGTTAATTCTGGACTGAAATCTAAATACCTATGGAGGGCACCAGATTGAGAAAGAATGTTCTATTATACTCGTGTAACAGAATAAGAACAGCTACATACTGAATTATAAAAGTGTATAAAATGTTACTTACTCAACAATAGTATCTCGATCTGCAATATCTCCAAGAACCATGCGTTGTATGATGCTATTGTGCTCTTCCTCTGAAAGATTTTTATATGAAACCAAAGGAATATTATATTTTGTCGCAGGTGAAGGATCAACTCCTTGTAGCCAAGGGTGATTTTCAATTTCTTCCAAAGATGCCCTTCGTTTGGGATCTCTTTGCAACATTCGTGTAATTAAACTAGCAAGAAAAATACAAGCATATATTAGCATGATTACATAAGAGCATATTTCACAAAGCTGTTTTTCTTTTATAATACAACTTGTTCTTACTCAACATATAATTGGTTATTTGATTTGTACAATTCTTCCTATTAAGCATTATTTTACTGAGATACTAGATCTCCATATTTTTTTCAGAATTAGAATTGGAACACAGGCCTATATGAGATACTTCCTAAATCTATCAGCATATAAATTCATTTGAGATTAAAATCTAGTCTTTTTTTTTATCTTGATAGGTAAGATAGCTCTGACTTGGTAAGGGTTTCTAAAAACAACCAGGAAAACCTCACCGTAACTAAACTAGGAAGTACATAAACAAATTTTGTTTAATGCTGTGTTTTGATTTGCTTTCCACTATGTTTTAGAAAGTTTTACACATATATAACACTAGCAGGGTATCCGTGCTTCCCTATGAACCTATGTGATCGGGCAAGTTTTTTGGGAGGAAAATAAGAGGAGAAAATTGTGCCTCTACATACCAGCATGCTTCGGTATTCATCTGGTTAGTGTCCTGTCAGTGTGAGAGTGTTCAGGGCTGTATTTGCTGTGTGAGCAAGGAGACAGCAAGGAGCCTGGGCATGGATTAGCTCAACTGCAGTTGGAACAAATTTTTCAGGTGGGGAGAGAGTTGAGGGCAGTTTGGAAACTTAAACAGTATTTGCTGTGTGAGCAAGGAGACAGCAAGGAGCCTGGGTGTGGCTTAGCTGAACTGCAGTTGTAAGATATTTCTTTTCAGGTGGGGAGGGGGAGTAGAAGTCCTTTGCATCAGTGTTAATAATAATATAGGAAATACTAATGGTCTGATAGTCATTTCAAAAAAATCCTTTGTTAGCGAGCATGTAGAAGTCAAGAGGAACATACATGCCAAATTTCAAGTTTGTAGGCTTTATGGTTCTGGAGATTTTGTGATGACGTATGAGTGCTTTTTCGCTTTTATATATATAGATAAGTATAAAAGTAGCTTGAAAACTGAAAATCACAGCATTAAGCTCACTCTATAGCATTATCTGGGCAAATTACAATGTTAGCATATTTCCCAACAATCTGGGTCATTTTACCAAGCTCAGATGAATGGAAGACTCAGTCAACCTTGAGTCCCATAAGGATTGAACTTGAGACTGTGGGCAAAGTTTGCCTGCAATATTGCATTCAAATCACTGTGCAACCAAGGCTCCCTTTATATAAATGGAAGGTTTGCAATATACAAGTTCTGATCATATTTGTGTTTATAATATATATATGGGCAGTATCAGTTCTGGTTAGCTTCTGGGTTTAATTCAAGGTGTTGGTTATCAACTTTAAAACCCTTCATGGCATGGGACCAGATTCTCTGAGGAACTGTCTCATTTCAATGATTCACCAGCCGGCCCGGGGTTGCCATTCGGGCAGGGGACTGGGATGTGCCTACCGACAATACCAGCTGAACACTGGCCTAGCTCACAGCTGCAGAAAAGACTGGCACATCATGGGGACTCTGCAGAATGCCTGCCGCATCTACGGTACCATCGGACAGCCAGCTGAGCTGCAGGCTTCGCCAACAGCTGATTCACGGCAGAACAGCTGAGTGGCAAAGCGCGAGCAGATGCAGGGAGCATGGCATGCTGGGTGAGGAAGAGAAACTGGTACGCTGCAAGAACGCGGCAGGCATATTGGCAGCACGTGTTAGGTAGGAGGTAGAGCCGTGGGGTGGGGTGGGGTAGAGCACATTTAAGAGGTGGAGGAGTAAACCACAGTAGTACTGACTTTGATTACTTTGTTGTTTGTCACTCTGTGCCGGGTTTCACGTTTGCAAGATAAAAAGTATCGCACTGAACTGTGTTGTCTCCATTTCTAGATGCTGGACACTGGAACATGACAATTGGCTTGTTTCACTCAATCCAACAAAATGGGCACCCTTTCTATCTACGCTGCAAGAGAGTCCGGGAATGGGTTAAGCTCCTCCTTCTGACATCATAGAGCTGAGTCTGCCACTATAAAAAAGCCAGCAACTGGCTGGTCCGCCCATCTTTTAGGCAGGATACTTGACAGACGTAATGTGTCTCTGGAAGATAAGCAAGAAATTAATTTCACTCCTTCCAACCATCAAATCCAGACGTATAGGGTGGGGCTGGACTCTCTTGCAATGTAGATAGAAAGGGTGTTCTCAGGCAATTATACCAACACCCATTCTCATCCACGCTGCCTCGAGAATCCAGGAATGGGACATACCAAAGCCTGCATGTCCACAGGAGGGCCAACATTTAGGCCAATCACTCCAACTGAGGAGCCACATTTTGAAGCACCCTCCAACCAAACGATGCCTGGGTTGAGGCAAATGAATCCAGGAGATAATGTTGTATAAATGGCAAAGGCGAAGCTCAGGTAGCCGCTCTGCAGATCTCCTCCAGCGACGTTTGAGTAGACCAGGAGGCTGATGTAGCCACACTCCTACTGGAGTGGGCCGTGACGTGTCTGGAGACTGGCATGGACAAAGTTTGGTACACCTTGGATATACAAGCTCTAATCCACCTACCAATTGTCGATGAAGTTACCTTGTTCCCCAGGGTAGAGTGATGAAATGACACAAACATGGCTTCAGATTTTCAAAAGGCCGCCATCTGTTCGATGTAAATTCGGAGGGCCCGCCTCACACCCAGTGTATGCTACCTGTGTTCCAATTTGTGTTGTGGTCTGGGGCAAAAGTCTGGTAACAGAACATCTTGCACCCGGTGAAACCAAGTGTTTATCTTAGGGACAAACGTGGCGTCTAACCGAAGAACTACCCTGTTCTGATGGAAAAGACACAGGTCCTGTTGTAGTGAAAGTGCCGCTAATTCAGACACTCTCCTGGCCTAGGTAATGGCCACTAAAAATACTACCTTGAGGGACAGCATTTGTAGAGATACAGATCTGAGGGGCTCAAAAGGGTTCCTCGTTAGAGCTTGTAAAATTTTAGGTAAATCCCAAGTGGGAAACCTATGTACAATAGGAGATTGAAGGTTAGATGCCCCCCTTAGGAACCTGTGCACCGAAGGGTGATGGGACAGAGAAGCATATTCCTCCCAGGATAGAACAGAAGAGAGAGCCACTACCTGGTGGCGAAGCATGTTAGGGGCCAGTCCCTTGTCTAAGCCATCTTGTAGGAACATTGGCATCTCTGCCACAGAAGCAGAAGTGGGGTCTCTGGCCAAAGGAATGCATCAGGAGCAGAAGGCCCTCCAAGTCTCATCGTAGATTGTATGGTGTCAATCACCCTGCCAGGAAAGTTGGAAGCCCTCATAGATTGCTGCTCAAGTGCCAAACGGTTAAGCTGAACCACTGGGGGTTTGGGTGAAGGAAGTAATGCCCCCTGATGCAGGGAGATCCTGGAAGCTGGGATCTTTCATGATTGGGCCACAGACAGGTTCACTAGGTCTCTGAACCAGGGTCTCCTGGGCCAATGAGGCACCAGGAGAATTAGCTCCGCCTTTTCCTCCAACAACTTCTGAATTACAGCCGGAATAATGGGAAGAGGGGAAAAGGAGTAGAGGAGACCCGGAGGCCAGGCGCTCCGAAGCGCATTGGTCCCCTCCACTCCCTGGGTTGGAAACCTGGTGAGGAACCTGTCCACCTGGGCATTCGGAGGGGTGGCAAAGAGGTCTACGGTCAGAGGACCAAATCGGCGTGACAAGTCCCAAAACAGAGAGGGGTGGAGACTCCACTCTGCCTGGTCTCCTGTGGACCGACTCAACCAGTCAGCCAGGACATTGTCGACCCCCGATATATGGTCCACCCTGATGGAAAGCAGATGTCTCTCCGCCCATCTCCCCAAGCTCTCTGCCTCTCTCATCAAGGCCCTGGACCTGGTCCCCACTTGCCTGTTGACATGGGCCTTTGCAGCCACATTGTCTGTCATGACTAACACATGGTGACTAGTCACCCTGTTCCAGAAGTGTTTCAGGGCTAGGGAAATAGCCCTGAGCTCCAGCCAATTTATGGGACACGTGCTTTCTGCCTGTGACCAACACCCCTGGGCTATTTCTCCCTCCAGATGGGATCCCCAACCATGGAGACTGGCATCTGTGGTGAGCCAGATTCTGTCTGGTTCCTTGAATGGAAGACCCCTCTCTAGGGCCTGGGATTTCCACCATGCGAAGGACCAAAGGACCTGTACCCTTACAGTAGAATGGCTGGTTCCTGCCCGTTGAAAGGGAAAGAAGAACCATTGGAGTTCCTGGGCATGGAGACAGGCCCACGGGACAATTTCAATGCTGGAGATCATCTTTCCCAGGATCTGGGACAGTAGAGACAACGGCACAGTGCTCTGACTCCGAATCTGAAGGATGCAACTGTGGAGCTTATCCCCTCTATCTGGGGAGAGAAACACCTTGCAGAGTGATGTATCTATAATCACTCCGAGGTAAAGCAACCTGGTCGTCGGGGAAAGGTGACTTTTCCTTAGTTGATCGAGAACCCATGGTCTCGTAGGCTCTGCAATGTGGTGTGAAGGTCGCAATGAGCTGACTGGGTCAACTGCCAAGACTTTCGTGAAGACCCTTGGGGCTGACGAGAGACCGAAGGGTAATGCCCGGTACTGGAAATGGTTGTTCTGGTAACAAAAACGGAGAAACTGACGATGATGAGGCCAGATAGGAATATGGAAGTAAGCCTCCGTGAGATCTATGGAGGAGAGGAGGTTGCCCTCTCGAATGCTCTTAAGGATAGAATGCAAGGTCTGCATCTTAAAACACCTGTATGGGATAAATTTGTTTAAGAATTTAAGATCCAAATGGCTCGCCACCCCCCAGAGGCCTTTGGGATCACGAAGAGGCAAGAATAGAAGCCTTGCCCTCGTTGATCCTCAGGAACCAGTTGAATGGCTCGTATGTCGACGAGATGTTGGATTGCCGATTCCACAAGGGCCCGTTTACAGCGGTCCATGGAGGTGGGGCAGTGAACAAACCATCATGGAGGTGGGAAGAGAAACTCCAGTTGGAGGCCTGACCTCACTGTCTCAAGAACCCAGGCGTCCAATGTAGACTCCTCCCCTCTGGAGGAGAAGAAAGTCAAACAGCCTCCAATGGGGAGGGGAGATGGGGCATTCATTTCGAGCGTCTGAATGAGCGACCTCCTCCCCCTCGAAAGGGCCGTTTACCGGGGGCCTGTTGCTGTCTGCTGGAAGCTTCAGGATGCTGTTCTTGGTGAGCAAGAAAGTAGCTCTGACCTCTTAGAGAACTGAGAGCTGGTTTCGGGTCTGAAAGACGAGGGGTGAAAATATGGCCCGGGGGGATACTCGGACCTCTTCCCTGCTGAAGAGAGGACCTTCCCTCTTGTCCTTGGTCTCCATCAAGTATGGTTCAAGGACATCGCCAAATAGCTTATCGCCCGTGCACAGAGCTGATGCCAACTTCCATTTACAGTGGGAGTTGATTGTCAGTTTGCAGCCAAAATAGCGACTTGGCTGCCACTGAAGAAGCCATGGTCCTGGAAGAGAACTTGGCCAAGTTCAGAGTGGTGTCTGCTGTAAACTCCGCCACCGTAATTATCTTGAGATCTTGGTGTGCTCTGAATTCAGTGGCCAGGAGCCTCTCCTGAAGCTGGTGAAGCCAGCGCAGTGAAGATCTCATAAAAAATGAGGCTGTCGTTGATGCTCTAATCGCCCGAGGAAGAAAACAATGCCACCACCGAGCATCCACCGAAGGCACTAGCAGGGCATTGGCCAGGGATGGGCCCACATTATAGAATCGTCTGTCGTGAGCAGACGGGAGAGACCTTTCCCCTGGAGAGGTGCACTGTTCCTTCACTAAATCAAGGAAAATTAGTGGGGGAGAACCTCCACATGCACCACTGGCTTGGAGAGCAACAAATCGGTGGCCAGATGTGGTTGCCTGTGGTTCTGAGGCCACTTCTCAGGGCTTAGCTATGCTTGTGTAACAACGGCTTGAATAAGGAAACTCTAAAAACCCTGCTAATGGAGGTTGATCAACTCTGAAGTCCTCTTCCTCAGACATATTGGGGTCTATGAGTTCCCCTTCCTCTTCCTCAGAATGACTACAGCCACTATGGTCAGAGGCCTGGAATAGTCTTCCTCTTTTTCCTCCCCCCCCACTCCAAATGGGAGGGCTGGAAACAGAACTGCTGTCTGGAAACACCCTTTTGAGAGAGGGGGACCCCTTGGGAGAGAGGGGGACCCCTTTGAGAGAGGGGGACCCCTGTTGTAACAAGGGCCAGCCTTGTTTAAATCCTTCTGCTAGGCCCTGCCTTATGGCTACAGAGACCATTTCCCTAAGGTTCTTGGGCCTATTCTCCTCAGGATGTAGGCCCGCAGCTGTGGGGGTGTAGGTTGCTTCAGGCCTAGTCCTATGCCCCCCTTGGGCTCCCTGACCACCGGGGAAGGGCCAGGCCCCCTGGTAGCCTGTCTAGAGGAAGGCCCTGATCTCCTTAGGTCCTGGGGAAACTGTTCTTCCTCCACTCTCTCTGGGGACCAAGCTAACAGGTGACTAGGAGCAGATTCACCCCCCTTGGAAGAAACTTCAGTGCTAATGTGAACCTCCCCAGAGTGAGAAACCTGTTGAATCTGGGCCTGCATCTGTGCCAAAGTCTCTGCAAACTGCTTCTCAAGTGCACCATGCCTTCTCTTCTCAGCCCTAAGCTCCAATTTTGAAGTTTTTCTGGGAGCTAGGGTCTTGGCTCTGATTTTTGCAGTAGCCTGTTAGCAGAAAGGCCTCTTTGTCTTTTCTTCTTCCTCAAAGGGGCTTGGGAGTCTTGGGTGTCTTCCAAACCTTTGGGGCCAGCTTAGGGGGCTTCCCTCTCCATCTTGCTAACAGAGCAGAATCAAGGGTGCTATGAGCTTCCCCCACATTGGTGCTACTTGTTGCTAAGGCCAGGTGAGTGAGGAGACTGTGAGGCCTTGGGGAAGCACATTCCCCCGAAACAAAATGGCCACCCGCCACTTTCAAAATGGTTACCTGTCACGTGGAGTGCCCCTGGGATGGCCTCACCACCTTCTTTGCTCTTTAGGCTCTTACCAGGCACCAAGAGATTGAATTAAGGTGGAACAGCTGAGAAGCGGCAGGAACAGGGCTCCAGAGTCAGCTGTGAAGTGGCTTTGCAACAACCAGGTTTGCGATTGGTGGAGCTGTGTGGGAGGTTCTTCTGAACATTCCCTGGGTCCACAGCCCGTGTACGGCAATGCCGAAGCCTCGCCGCTGCAGTAGAGCAGATTCCCGCTTTCCTGGAGACAGAGCTCTACCGGAGCCCTGGGAGCTGGATTTTAAAGTTATTTGCTGTCTCCTTAGTTCGAACTTTCTTTTAGCTGGCTTAAAGCACTTCTTCCAGAGACTATGCTCTCAGACAAAAAGCTGAGCCAAAAGATGGGCGGGCCAGCCAGGGGCTGACTTTTTTACAGTGGCAGACTCAGCTCTATGACATCAGGAGGAGGAGATTAACCCATTCCTGGACTCTTGAGGCAGCGTGGATGAGAAAGAATATGCTATGGGCCCCATTGATCAAAGAATTGTAGATGTCTAAGGAGAGCCTGCCCCTCCTCTTTGGAATATCTTGGCACCTGGAGTAAGGTCTGCCTCCATTCTTTTTGCCTTCCCAAAAAGCTGGCTGTACTGATTGGTTTGGGATCCTGATAAGGGAACTCCACAATGAAAGTGGCTGATGGAGGGAGAAGATGCCACCACTGTACAGATTATTCCTTTTATTTCTTATCTTTGTATCTAATATTTTAAATATTTTGATATTTATAGTTTTAATTGTAAAGCCACTTTCAAAAGTGAGGTGGGCAGCATATAAATATAATAAATAAATAGTATTTTTGAAAAATTCTCATTCGTTAATTTTTCAAAGCATTCTTAAAAAGATAGGCATGGAAATGTAATATATCATACTATGTCATTAAAATCACCCTCTTGTACAAAAGAATAGTTATAATTTTAAAGCTTAGTATTTTATCCTATGACAAAATTTTAATCTGTAATGTCTAGTAAAACCAATCATAGAATAGCGAATGCAAATTAAGGAGGGAAAACAATAAAGGACTTGTGCACAATTATTAACTAGAAAAAAAGGATGTTCAAAAATAAATATGTGGATATCTTGAAGAATGAAGATAAATTACTTCATTCTTCAACATGTGTTTCATTTATATCCTGCCTCTCCTCTATGGAATTCAATATAGCATACATGATTCTTCCATTTGATCCTTGAAGAAATCTTAAGGATATAGATTAGATTGAAAAAAAATGAGGTGGGGATTTGTGACCTTTTCATTGTGATGAAATGAAAATATGAACTGGGTTCCCTCAATCTTCACCACTACCTATACTGCCCATATATTAAATTACTGCCATAATGCATTTTATAAAATCATTTACTTACTCTTTACATTCTTTGGACACCCGGGATGGTACTGTGTATTTGCAATCCATTATCATGGTCAAAGTTTCACTATCATTTGCTTCTTGAAAAGGTGGTTGTCCACATACCAACATGTAAAGAATAACTCCCAGACTCCATATATCTGAGAAAACATAGACTTTTAAATTTCAACGCAGTAAATATTTATTTACCATTTGAACAAACGTATTAATTAGTCATAATTTACAAGATAACTAGATAAGGAATGTTTTCTATACATTTCAATGAAATATCATTTTAATTTTTGTTTCATACTTTTTTTATAATTTTCAACACCTAACATCAAAAACTTCATCAAAAAAGCACAACAAAGAATGTTCTTTCTGTGCCAACTCAGAAAACTCAAACTGCCCAAGGAGCTGCTGATCCAGTTCTACAGAGAAATTATTGAGTCTGTCATCTGCACCTCTATAACTGTCTGGTTTGGTTCTGCAACCCAACAAGACAGACACAGACTTCAGAGAGTAATTAGGACTGCAGAAAAAACAATTACTACCAACCTGCCTTCAATCGAGGACCTGTATACTGCACGAATCAAAAAGAGGGCTGTGAAAATATTTACAGACCCCTCACATCCCAGACATAAACTGTTTCAACTCCTACCCTCAAAATGATGCTATAGAGCAGCGGTCGCCAACTGGTGGGCTGCAAGCCCACTGGTGGTCCACGAGAAAATTTTGGTGGTCCACAGAGAAATGTCACCCCCAGAGTACCCCCTAAAGCAATAAATCCAGGCTGCACAGGAACACAAGGCTGCATTGCCCACATGGCCCACCCTCCCCGCCCACTCACTTCTTACCTGGCAAACTTGCCTGCTAAATTGCCATTTTTCCTTTTTCCGACCATCAGCTGTTCTGCTGTGCTGGGAAATTTAGATTAGCTAGAAAGCAGGAAATCGTTGGATTTCTTGCTTTCTAGCTAATCTTTAGATCTTCGGCTCTGCTTTTAAGACGAACCTTCCTTGGACTGAAGCAGTGCAGACTCAGCTAGCCGATGGCAGAAACACAGATCTCTAAGTGATTCTGTGAGCAACTCAATCTGCCTGTCTGCTTTGCCTGATTTTGGGTAAAAGTTGCTCTTTTTTATACAAAAATTCAATATTTATATAAATATTTATAATATTTATATCGAAGCCATGCCCAGTCACATGACCACCAAGCCACACCCACAAATTAGGCCACGCCCACAGAACCAGTTGTTAAGAAATTTGAATCCCACCCCTGCCTGTGTGTGTGTGTGTGTGTGTGTGTGTGTGTGTGAGAGAGAGAGAGAGAGAGAGAGAGAGAGAGAAAGGGGGGGCTCTCTCTCTTTCCCTCCCACCAACGTCAGCACGCCACCATCAGTCAAAATTTATTTTAGTGGTCTCCGGGATTTAAAATTATGAATTTGGTGGTCCCTGAGGTCCAAAAGGTTGGCGACCCCTGCTATAGAGCACTGCACACCAGAACTAGACACAAGGACAGTTTTTTCCCCGAACGCCATCACTCTGCTAAACAAATAGTTCCCTCAACTCTGTCCAACTATTTACAAAGTCAGAATTACTATTATTATTAATCTTCTGATCACTCCTTATCACCCATCCCCTCCCACTTATGGGAGTTACTGTATGACTGACTGTAACTTGTCGCTTGTATCCTTGCAATTTATATTGTTTCCTAGTATGATTCAATTGCTTATTGTACCCTATGACTATTATTAAGTGTTGTACCTTACAATTCTTGACTCTTGACGAATGTATCTTTTCTTTTATGTACACTGGGAGCATTTGCACCAAGACAAATTCCTTGTATGTCCAATCACAGTTGGCCAATAAAGAATTCTATTCTATTCTATTCTATTCTATTCTATTCTATTCTATTCTATTCTATATCACAGCATCTTTCAAATTTGGTGATCCTATCAGTCAAAAGAAACAATTGTTCTGATTGCCAGCAGTTATGAAGCCAAATTCAAGTTTGCTTATGATGTTTCAGTTCCTAAACATTGAGGAACAAAGAAGTCTAAATGAGGACAGGAGTTGCAGTGACATGATCCCTAAGTAAACCATATGACAGAGAGGGAGAGGAGGGTGAGGGAATGAATGAGGGCTGGTAGCAGTGAACAATGCCAGAGTTATTCTCATTCCAGCATGTGTTTTCATGTGCAGAAATTTGAGCATTACTCAATAAATTATTTTTCTTATTGTTTACTACTGTTGATTACCATATCTGTGAATGATTGCTTACTGAGACAATTGCTAAATGAGAAGTACCTGTTCACTATATTATTTAGTTAAGCATTGACAACTGGGACAGTCTTACTGCATATGCAGACCTAGAGATCCTGGAATTGCTTGTGTAGGAGCTTTTCCTATGGGAGTCTACATTCAGAAATGTTCTTTTTCAAAATTTTTGTAGATACCTACTGTTAAATTTTACAACATTGAAAAAAAGCTATCAAGCTTTTTTGTATGAATGCTGAATAAACCTTTATGTTTGTTTTCTTTCCTGTTTTTCTGTATTTTCTGATTTGAGTATTTTATATTTTGTAGGCTATATATGGTGCATTTGAACAGAATTAAAATGCCAATTAAAAATTGACTTCCTGTCATAAAGCACAACTAGAAGAACCCACCTCTGAATAGAGAAGTCTATTCAGATGAATTAGCAATCTAACCTATTAACAGGCAGATCCATTTATTCATTAAAATACAGGATAAAACATCTTAAATATCTAAAGTCTTTCCTATTAATTGGATGGTGTTATCTCCTATGAATTTTTTTTCAGATTATGATTTAAAAGAAAAAGGATAAGAGCTTTACTACAAGGCTTTAACTAAAACAATTGTGACCATTTGGAAATACTTACAATATCACATTAATCAAATCAAAAATTATACAGAAAAATGTGTATGTGTGTGTGTATTTGTTACTAAACAGGAAACAAAACATTACCTTTTTAACCCAGAAACTTTCTCAATATTTCTCTACCTTATTTAGTGTTCATTTAAAGAATTTTCACTGTTACATTATTTTAGGTTTTTTTAGATCAATTAGCAAACAATCAGTCAACATGAAAAGTCTGGAGCAGTATCGGGAATCCAAGTATTAAAAATTCTGTTAAATACCCTTATAAACAATGGATCTGATTGAGACTATAAAGATACTAAGAATATCAGAGATTTTTAAAACATAACACTTCATTTAAAAAAAGTGTTAACTCTTAAATATGTAATTACACAGTACGTACTTTGAAATTGTAATTTATGAAGATTTATAGCTTCTGGTTAGCATTTGTTATTTTCAAATGCTTCTGAAACATCCCAGTTGTAAAAGTTGTTCCAGCCAGATTCTCAGAGCCATGACAACCAGGCAAATACATGCAACTTCCTTATTCCTTACATAACATAAGTCATTACTATGGAAACCAAACCTAGTCACTGATTGCCTCTTTAATATTTGTCACAAATCCCCAAAATTTACTGTGGATTTTGTTGTGCAGATTATTAAAAATGCTATTCTTTAAAAGAATGCCAAACAAAACTGCCAATCAATGTACTTCACATTGAATCCTTAAAAAATTAAATTGTTTTTTAATGAAAGACATGTTAGTTTAGAAAGACAGTTAATCAATAAAAAGCTATGTCTTTTTTAACATAGTTGCATAGGAGATAACAAAGGAGATTACAAAGGAGATATTACTTTCTCAGTTACTATTTCTAAACACAGAAGTTAAAATGATTAATTATACATATTTCTTCATATTAATGCCCACGAGCAGAATCTTTTATTAGTGTTAGAAATTAATTACCTGTGACATTTATCAGATATATCTGCTGACTAGCTACAAAGATATTTTTGTCAGCATATACGGAGGAAGCATTACTATAATATGGGAACTCCAGGTGCTGGGAGTGGTACCGGTGTTATAGAAAAGTTATGTTAATAAAATATTCATGGGATTCTCATATGAATCTGGATCTCTTCTTTAAAATATCACAGAAAAATTCTTTGCAGAATAATTTACCATAATATAATATAATCTCCAGGTGGCAAGGAGTAGTATTGCATGAAAGATCTATGAATCATGGGACTCTCCTATAAATCCATCTGATTTTTTAAAAAATATAACATGGAAAAATTATCTACATAATAAAATTAATTATATAAGACAGCAGTCGCCAATCGATGGGCTGCAGCCCACTCGTGGTCCACGAGAAAATTTTGGTGGTCCACAGAGAAATGTCACCCCCAGAGTACCCCCCAAAGCAATTAATCCAGGCTGCACAGGAACACAAGGCTGCATTGCCCACATGGCCCACCCTCCCTGCCCACTCACTCCTTACCTGGCAAACTTGCCTGCTAAATTGCTATTTTTCCTTTTTCCGACCATCAGCTGTTCTGCTGTGCTGGGAGATTTAGATTAGCTAAGAAGCAGGAAATTATTGGATTTCCTGCTTTCTAGCTAATCTTTAGATCTTCGGCTCTGCTTTTTAAGACGAATCTTCCTTAGGACTGAAGCAGTGCAGACTCAGCTAGCCAATGGCAGAAACACAGATCTCTAAGTGAATCTGTGATTCTGTGAGCAACTCAATCTGCCTGCCTGTGCTTTGCCTGATTTTGGGTAGAAGTTGCTCTTTTTAATAAAAAATTCAATATTTATATAAATATTATAATATTTACATACAAGCCATGCCCAGCCAGTCACATGACCACCAAGCCACATCCACAAATTAGGCCATGCCCACAGAACTGGTTAAGAAATTTGAATCCCACCCCTGCCTCTGTGTGTGTGAGGTGGGGGGGAGAGAGAGGTTAGATCAGATCTCTCTCTCTCTTTCCCCCATATCCCTGAGGTCTGGAAAGTTGGCAACCCCGATATAAGATACTAGTTATATTAGGAAGCTTGAAACAATTAGTGCAGGCCAAACACATCCCTAATTATTTATCATCAGATCATTACTTCCTAATGATCTTCCAGAAAAAGTTAGAATTTTGATAGTAACATATGCCATCTCCATTTAGATGACATATACTAAAAAGGAAATTCACATGAAACATTTCAAACTAGCATTTTTATCACTGTCAGATATGCACATCACACAATCTTGCCAACTGTACATAA